ATTAATGCTGGTGATCAGGAGTGCAAAAGAAAGACTCAAGCAAAGGAAAGACTTGAAAGTGCTAGGAATAAAGAAGGGGAGAAAACAAAATGTAAAAAGGCAAATTTAGGGAAAATAAGATACTTTTAATTAATACACAGTCTTTGATCTAAGGGTATCATGAAGACACACCAAGTGAAGTACAAAGTACAAAAACCTGTCTGTCTCCAGAAAGAGTTAAATACTTTGGTTTGGCGAAGAGAAATAGACATTGAACCATGAAAGGAGGAAAAGGGAGTTTGAAATGTAGTCTAAAGATTAGATGGGGCCCGTAAAAGAGGAGGGAAGAACAATCCAAAGAGCCGAGATTAGGGGTTTGATATTTAGAAACAGAAATGTAAAAGTGAACTGTGGCAAAGATGCTATAGAGGCCGATAAGGGTAAGAGATGAAAGAGAAAAGGGAATGGTTCAGATGAAGATACTAAATGTCAAATTGAGAATCTCAAAAGTACAGATCAGAAGGGACCACTGACAGAAGGAAAAAATGGAGACACCTGAAAGGAGAGAAAGGTTATATGTTTTATTACCAATTCTCTCAGACGTGCTGGGCAACTGCTGGAAAAAGCACCACTCACCCTCCTCCACAAAAATAAAAGGCAAAAAGAAATAAGGACGTACTAAATGTTCCTGGCTAAATGAAGCAAGGGTTTGGGAAGGCCACTAAATACAGCAATGGAGAAATTAGGGCCTGAGGTCACGAGCATGTGTACCAAGAGAGTGACACAAGCTGATACATGAGATGATTCAAAAATACCACCCACAAAAGATAATGTTAGAAATAGGGAGAGTAAGGAGAAAAGCAGCATGCCAGAAGGTTGTGCCAATGACCCTAACACTAGCACTACAATTAGCAGGATATCAATGAATATAAAATGATAGAAGGCAATGGATGAAAAAAGGTGCAAGAGGAAAGAAATAAAATTTTGAATAGCAAAACATCACGATGCATCATTTATACAGCTTAGAAGTAGAAGGCACCAACACTGCCAGAAGAAAAGCAGTGGTTTCAGTAATTCGTCGCCTTGTATGCATGATGCGATGGCGGCCCCATGGCACGTGTCTCAAGAGAAGTGGATGACCTCAGATGAGAAAACCAGCAGCTAGTCATCACACATGGAAGTGATTCTTCTTGAATAGTGAGTGTTCTCCAAGAACTCCTCCAGACAGTAGAGCTCTTCAGTTTTGCTACTGAGCAGGGAGCAGGGGAGCTGAGACCTCTTACCGCCCTCCTGAGATGTCTCTATCAGCAATCCCAGGTCTCGCAGAGTTTTCAAACAGCTGATCAATATATTACAAACGGTGTTTAATTTGGCATTTGGGGTGAGGTTGCAGCGTCCCATCTGTTACGGTCTGAGGAACCCACAACAATTTATTATCATTTAGACAATTATTCTACCACCCGATGACCCCTCCTCTACCTGGGAAGGGGAATTGGGAAAAAAACCAAGGAAACCCAAAGGCTGAAATATAAACAGATTTAATAGAATAAGACTAGATGGTTCTGATTTTCAAGAAAGGACTCCCCCCCCCCCCCCCCCCCCCC